GAGCGCGGCGGCGGCGCCGGCCCTTCCCCTGCGAGCCGCCGCCGGGCCATGAAGCAGCAGCATGAGGATGTGTGAGCGCGGCGCCCAGATGCTCGTCACCACGGTGGGAGCCTTCGCAGCCTTCAGCCTCATGACCATCGCCGTGGGCACCGACTACTGGCTCTACTCGCGCGGCGTGTGCAGGACTAAGTCCGCGAGCGACAACGACACGAGCCGCAAGAACGAGGAGGTGATGACCCACTCGGGGCTCTGGAGGACGTGCTGCCTCGAAGGTACCTGCGCGCGCGGTACCGGCCCCGCTGCTCGCGCCGGCCCCCGGGCAGCCCCGCGCCGCTCCGGGCAGCCCCGTCCCCTCCGCAGCCCCGCACCGGCCCCCGGCCTCGGGGGCGCCTCCCGCGGGCACCAACGGGCGCTGCCGCGAGGCGAGGGGGAAACTTTGCGGGCGGCTTCTCCGTGCAGAATGTGGGGGCCTTGGGGGGCCCCGAGGACCCTAGGGAATCTGGGGGCAGTAGGAGCTCTGCGTCTCGGGGGCCTGTGGGTGCTCTGGGGCACTGGGGGCTCTGGGGGCTCTGGGGGCGCTGGAGCTGGGGGCTCTCATGGTGCCCCCGAGGGCAGCAGCCTGGTTGGGGCTCCAGGCTCTCGCTGTGGGCAGGGGGCAGCGAGGGGGCTCTGAAGCGGCTCTGCTGACGTGGCCTTGGGGAAGCAGGGGGACACGGGTGTTCCAGGCTGGGGCGGCTGCTCTGGCCCCAGAGGATATTCCAAGGGGAGCAGCCATTGTCTCCTGCATGAGCTGCCGGCAAATCCCCGGAGGGTTTCTGTGGGTGCCATGTCTCCGTCACGGGGACGGCTCAACCCTCCAACCGAGCTCTTCACAGGCCCGTCCCCAGCAGCGCTGCGTCCCCCTCTGAGCAGCAGTGCAGGGTGAGCCGTCCCACGGCTGCCACCCCGTCCCCACGCACGGAGTGCGCTCGGGCCGCGCTCCGGGCGCCGAGGCCGGCGGGGGCCATCGCGGCGCCCTTGCAGCCGAGCTGCATGGGGGCTGTTCCCCCCGTGCCGCGGGACGCGCTCACCCCAGCCACAGCAGGCTGCTCTCGTGGGCGCTCGGACGGGGCCCGTGCAGGTGGAGGTGCCCAGTGGCATCGTGTGGCTCCAACTCTTGCAACGAGCTGCAGCGGTTGTTCCTGCAGCGCCCCATGGGGGGACCCGCTTTGCACCCCCAGGAACCCCAGTGGCAGCGGTGCCTCTGTTGCAGGAGGGACCTCGTTAGGTGGTGACTGCTAACAGTGCGGCTGGGGAGCTGGGAGACCGAGGGGCCTCTCCCTCTGCCGCATCCCAAGTTCTCCATGAGTCACAGCCCTGGATGCAGAAATTCCCAGCCCTTCCCTGGTGTTCATCCGAAACCCAGTGGGTTCAGCAGGCTCTTCCTCACTGCTTCGGGAGGTTCGCATCCTGCTCTAATTCTGTAATAAATAACTTGGGGTGATCTGTCCCCGCTCTCGGGTGCGGGAGCAGCCGCCAGGGCTGGGAGCGACGGCATCACCGGAGGCATGAGTAATTCCCCAAATTCGTATTTGTGCTGGCTGTATTTTTTCCCTGGGCAAATGCTTTATGTGTCCCTGACGGCGATAAATCACCACTGTGGATGGAGGCAGCGAGGCGCCGGCTCGCAGGCGAAGGGCTCCACGGTGCAGGCTTGCAGCCTGGTGCCCGCAGGGGCCGGCGTGGGGCCGGGGATGGGGACAGGGGGCCCAGCTGCCTGCTCCATCCCTGCCCCGATGCCAAGGAAGTGAAAATGAGTGTCTTGCCCGGGATGAGGCTTGTTCGGGCAGTCGGGTGCGGAGGAAGGGGCCGCGGGGGCTTGAGCTAGCGCTGCCCGTCTCCTATCCTCTCTTGGCCTGTGTTTTCTCCTGTACCGCCCGTATCCAGCGTGGGAAACGCTCACACGCTGCACTGCATTGCCGTGCGCCAGGAGCGGGGGCATCCGGCGAGTTCTCCCGGTGCCGGGTGCGGGAGAGCGGATGCGGTGGCGGCGCTGGGGCCTGTCCACCCTCTCGCCACCCGGCCCTGGGAGCCTGTTGTGACGGGGGGTTCGGTGGCGGGTGTCTCCGGTGCGGCCGTGAGCGCAGCGAGCGCACGGTGCGATGGGGCTGACGCTCGTCAAGCGCGCGGTGTGAGTGGGAGCAGGAGCCCTCTGCAACTCGGACACACAAGGGTCGTTCACTCTTCGTGCCGCAGCCCCTTGACTTTAATTACAGCTCGTGCAGCGCACGGATGCTCATTAGGGCTCAGCGCCTGACGCACTCCTGCCCGGACACAGGGACCATGGGGGCAGCTCCGCTTGCTGGGAACCATTTTCCTCCTTGGCTCCAGTAGCAGAGGGAGCAGAGCGAGGCACTGGCCTGGAGGAGCTGGGGCCGAGCGGCAGCTTCTCCGGCTCGCAGTGTTTCAGGCGAGCAGAATCCTGCTGTTCATCCCGCATGATCCATCGCACACAGTTGGGTATCGCCCTCCTGCTCTGCCACTACTGTAGGCAGCTCCTAGTCCAGCCCCCGACCGGGCTTTTTTGGCCCATAAAAATATCAAATATCCCCCTGTGACACTGAGGTCTCCCTCGGGCAGACAGGGTGGTTGCCCGTAACCTGCCAGCCCGGCCGAGCCCCGCAGAGCGTCGTCCGCCCCACACTGAGTGCGCGGTGCCGCCCACCCACGTGCGATACCACCCGCCCGTGCACGGTGCCGCCCACCCTGCACTGAGTGCGCGGTGCCGCCCGCGCCCGCACCAGGGCTGCCCACGGGGAGGGCTCCGCTCCGCTGCCTGGGGGCACAGGCAGAGCCAGCAGCTCGTGGAGCTTCACGTTGTAGCAGCCGCTGCCTCCGTCGCGCAGCGTCTGGTGAAGGGACCCGCTGCAGGGCAGTGGTGCGGGTGCGCGGCGCGGGGCGGTGGCTCTGCTCTCCACACCAGGGTTTGTCACACGCGCTGCTTCCTCGCTGGCGCTGCCCACGTGCTCTGAGCCGGGCAGCACGTGGACCGGCTCCTGCTGCAGCTGGTGCCATCACCTGAGTTCCTGCTTCGTTCCAGCTAAACACAGGGCTCTTACAGCAGCTTCCTGGTCTTCCAGAAATTCCCTGGAATTCCAAGATTTATTAAAGATCCCTTTGGATTCTGGGAGCCCTCCCTGGTGTGTTCCCCCGGGGGAAGCGCTGCAGCCGCCGTGCCGTGTTGGCAACGAGGAGCAGCTCTCGGGCCGCGCTGCTGCGGGGGGCTCACGAGCCTGTTTGCTCCGAGCGCAGAGCGGGAGCACCCGGTGCCCGAACAGCCGAGCGGCAGCCCCGCTCTGCGCGGCCGCAGCCCTCCCCGCGCCACCAGCGAGTGCCGCGCTCGGCCCTCCCGCCACGCGCTCGCTGCCCAGCTGCTGCTTTCTGCTCCCAAAGCCGTTTTTGGTGCGTTTTAGCTACCGCCCTCACCCGCAGCCCCAGGCAGGCTCCAGCGCTCCCTCCTGGAGCGGGGATGAGGATCTGGAGCAGGCGCCAATCCCAGGGCGGCCGGGCCCTGCTCTGCCCACAGCCGCACACCCGGAGCCAGGGGACGCCCATGTCCCCGGCGCTGCCGCTGCTCCAGGGGCTGCCCCCGGCTGACGAGGGCTGCGTGTCCCCCTCCCCGGGCAAGGTGACCCTTTCGGTGCGGCTGCGGCTAAGCGGGGCTCAGGACGGCAGCGCTGGGGCGAGGGGTGCCGGGCGCAGCCCCCTCCCCATCTGCGCCTGCGCCGGCTCCTCTGCGGCCCCCGGGGCGGTTTGGGCAGGTAGCGCCCCGGGGCCGGAGCGGGGCTGGCTGCGATGCCGGTGCCAGGGTCTGCACAGGACGGCCCCTGGCCTGGGCCGCCCTCCCTGCCCGCCCCTGGCATCGCCAGCGTGGGGAGGGAGGGCCCAGCAAGGGAGCTGCTGTCCCAGGACATGGGCTGCGTTTCTACATGGACCATCTCCCCGCGGCTTCCACTGCCCCGACCGGGAATCACCCCGGTCCCCCCTGCTCCTTGTGGCCGCCGTGCGCCCTGATCAGGCACGTGTGCCAGGCCTTGCGACAGGCTGGGAGCAGTGGCAGCTTCCCTGGCTTCTCCGAGCGGCCCTCGGGCTCAGGCTGGAGCTGGTGCAGAGAGGTGGCTCCTTTATGGAGCTCGTTTCCCATCCCGGCCTTGGGCGGAGGGCGGCCTCCCTCCCGCCGGCCTCGTGGGCAGTGGGGAGCCAGGGTGCACCGGCCGCGGTGCCGCTACCCGCGTACCGTCAATCTCGGGGCCTTTTGCATCTTCCTTCTCCCCCTCCTTCGGATCTATATTCGGTCGCTGCCTCCTGCAAGGGAAGAGCTGAGTGGGAGTCGGGATTGTTCCAAAGCCGCAGAGTTTCTCCAGCAAAGTGTGTCCCGCGGGGGGGCTGCGGGAGCAGGGGTGTGCAGGGCCGCGTCCCGGAGCCGTGCGGGACCCCGGGCGCATCCGGCCCTCCTGGCGCCGCGTGGGGCTCCGGGCGCATCCCGGCCCCCGGAGCCGCATCCTGTACCCTGGAACAGATGGAGCGGAGGCGGCAGCTCCATGTCCCGTGGGAGGAGCAGGGGTGGCCCCGCTGCCCACCCCGTCCCCACGGCCCCTCCTGGCGGGACACAGCCCTCTCAGCTGAAAATATCAAATATTTATAGCGATAGGGGGGGTGTGACAAGTTTTTTTTTTATAAAAAATAAAAACAGCAGCAGCAGCAGCGAAGAGGCAGGTGCCTGGGCAGCAGTCCGGCATTTGAACTTCAAATGCCACCTTCAAATGAGCAGTGCAGAGAAGAGGAAGAAAGGAGGAATTTAATAGCTTTTTTTTTTTTTTTTTTTTTTTTTTTGCAAGGAAAACAACCCTCTGCTCTTCCTCCCGGACTCAGTGTGGTTTAAAGATTGACTGTGCAGCTGCAAAAACTATCGATGAACTGTAAACATGAAAAGATCGCCCTGCTCAGGGCCTGTCAAGAGCATTACGCCGGGAGCGCGCCGCGCGCCTCCCCGCATGACTCACCGCGTCTTGAGCAAATGTGTTTATTTGTAAAGAGCCTCATTTCGGCAATAGTGACCTTTCTAGTGCCTCGTGCAGGAAGCTCTGAGGTTCCAAATTGCCTCTTGGCAGCTCCGTGGCCGAGCGCGCGCCAGCGCTGCGCTTTGCGTGGAGCTTTGCGGATGCGGAGCCCCGCAGCTCTGCACCGCGAGGCCGCCCAGGACCTGTGCAGCCCTCGTGTCCCTCGGCGCTGC